ACATATTAGAGAAACAGAGGGTTATAGTTATATACACATGGAAGGCCTATTCTGATGCTTCACTGTGGTGTGGAGTTATCTCTGGACTTTCCAAGGCTATGCTAGTCAAACATAAACCTTGGCAGGTTCTACCATGCTGGAAAAATGTCAAGTATGGCCCCAGAAACAAATTGAATCTCTTTTCAAGAACCAGCCTAGCTAATCATGGAGAGAGATATCACCAGTAGATTAGTAAACCACCTGGTGAGAAAGCTTTTTTTGACCATGGCAATCTACAAAACAGGGGAAAATAAAAATGGCTTTCAACCTAAGCCTCCCTACATTTCAGCAGTGAAGGTAACAAAGAAGGGGTACAGAGGGTACTAAGAAACACACAAACTGCAGACCATCAACAAGCTTTCACTTGACTGTTGGTACTCTAAATGTAAGATATTTGTCCACTTACCAAAAAGTAAACATATTTCTGGAGGATCAGAATCACATCAATCTTGATATTGATACAAGAAAGAAACACTTTATAACTAAATGGAAGGCTAATAGCTATTCCTTGGAGAAGCAAGGAAAGGAGCTGGCAGAGCAGAATTTATCAAAAGTTCAAAAGCAATAAGAAAACTTTTTGCATTGGACATGTGGCCTTCATTATTGCAGTACAAATGATAAGTATCTGCAAAAAGGACATAAAAATAATTGCAGCTTACATGCCAACATCAATGGTTGAGGATGAAGAAGTGATAGAGAAATTCTACAAAGAACTTAAAAATCAAATTAATATATACCCTAGCAATTAACAACTTCAATGCAAAGGTAGAAAATGGTAAGGATGGAGAGAAAGATATGGAAAGCTATAGTTCAGAAGAGAGTGCCCAGAAATTTACAGACTGATTATATTTATCAGAAGCCTCATGCCCCTATATCATGAACTTTTCTTCAAAAACAGGATTGGTAAGCACTGGACACAGTGAGCACCAAAAAAGGTCACAAAGAATGAAAATGACTACATTTTAACTGACAGGAAAAGACTTACTATGGACATAGGGAGTTATCCATGAGTCAGATGTCTGTGTACCACTGAGCAATCAACTTGTGAGAGCTAAGACCATAATTTATAATAAACAAGAAGAAAAAATGAGAAAATGTTATGGTATACAATTAAGAAGATTTAACCCTGAATTAAACAAGCTATTAAAAATAAAAAATGGAGGATGAACAACAGAAATTCTATTAACAGTTATAGACCAAGATAATTTCATTCAGTTAAATCAATGTAAATTAATTGCTAGATCAAGACCAAAAGAGCCTTAGTCAGCAAACATCTGATGATTTACTTGCCAAATGGAGATGGCTGCCAAAAACTCATCTGTAAAATCTTACAATAAAGAAAGGATGATGAACAATTATGAGCAGTAGCATCTCACAAAGCAGAGATAAATAATGAATGATAAAACCAGTCCAAAGAAAGTTTGGCAAAATGTACAACTAGGCAATATCATCCTATAGGCATGCTAGAATGAAAACAAGAAGGACAAACAAAGAAAAATGGAAGAGATTTACAAAACTTATTATAACAAACTTTTTTGTCACCAAGGAACCACCATACTTGAACTCTTAACATCACAGTCCCTGAGGCACCTTGAGAGAAAGTAGAAATGGTACTGAGGAAAACAAATAAATGGAAGGCAACTGAATTGCAACAAGTTTACAGAGAGATCTGTGAAGGGCATTGAGGTACCAATTTACAAAGTATCTAAACAAGGTGAAGATACCAAAGGTGTAGAAAAAATTTCAGACATTACTCTCAGGATGTTTAAGAGATACCAAGAAAAACCTAAAACATGATCTACTTCATTGAAAGGAATTTCCAAATCAGTAAGATGGCTTTTGAGTTCTTTAGAGTATACTTTATGACTTCTTAGTAACCAAAATCATTAAACAGAACACCTTATCAGCAAAACATATCCCATTGTATTTATAGACATACAACACACACACACACACACGCACACACACACACACACACACACACACGCACACACCTTTAACAGCTTCAAATGGTACGCCATAAAGTAGAATCGTTTGTGTTAGTATTTGTCCAGATCTGCAATTTTATTAGTGTAGGGAACTCCAGGTGAAGAAACTCCCTCAACCAATACAGATCAGCAACTTCTGCATCTTATCATCTTAAGAAAGCTGTCTACAAAGCATGAGTATGGTTTGAAAAAACTCAGCTGCTGCTATGAGAACTCTCCATTTTATTTCAGGTGTATAGAGTTAATGGGGTCAGTCAGCCATGCATTAAGCTCCTACTGTGTACCTCAGACACAGTGCTAAACTCTAGGAATACAAAGAAAGGTAAGAGATAGTCCCTGCTCTTAGGAGCTAATAATCTAATGAGGGAGATAAAATGCAAATAACTATAAACAAGCTATATACAGGATAGATAGGAAATGATCACCTAAGGGGCAGCTCTAGCATTAAGAGAGATCATGAAAAGTTGCTGTAGATTTTAGCTGGGACTTGAAGGAAGCCATGAGACAGAGATGAGGAGGGAAAGTATTCCATTCATCTGTGACACCCAGTGAAAATGCCCAGAGTAGGGAGATGAGTGTCTTGTTCAAGGAGACCAGTGTCACTAATGGGATTAAATGTAGGGGGCGTATAAGGTGTAAGAAGACTAGAAAGATATGGAGCAGCCTATGAAAGCTTTTGAATCAAGCAAAAGGATTTTATATATTTAAATTTTTTATATTTATAGTATGGAAGAGTAAAAGGGAATGGAACTACGATTTCTTTGATTTAGGGAATTCCAGGACCTAGAAACTCACTCTACCAAGGCAGGTAGATCTCTGCAAGTTTTAGTCTTAAAGAGACCGACCTAGAACACTGAGAAATTAAGTGAATTGCCCAAGGTCATGTCAGAGGCAGCATTTGAATTCAGCTCTTCTGAGCTTCACAAAGCTAGTTCTCCATTGTCTCTCAGTAGCAACTTTAAAAATGAATGAAAAGATTGACATCTTATCTGTGTTTCCACTAACAGAAAAAACACCTTAACATCTAGGTAAGAAAGTCATGATGAGCAGCAAGTAGCACTATTGGAAAAGCAAGATATACAAAAATTTCCTTCAATCATATGCCATTCAACAGAAATAAGTGGCCTTCATCTTCTGCCTACCTCACACTTAAAACGTGACTCAAAATGTCAAGCTTCTCCAAGAGCAAGTAATTTTTCAGGGGACTGGGATTTTTTTTCTTTGTATCCCAAGAACCTAGGATATCGCAGGCATTTAATGTTCCCTGAACTGAAAAATAAAGATGCTGTCCTACTAACAGTCCTGCAAATATCATTCTATTAGCACAACTTTAGAAATTTTCATTTAACAACTTATCTCATATTTTGTTTGTATCTACCCTCACTGGATAGTATTAAAAAAAAAATTTCAAAACTCTAAACTAGATATATAAACTTTAATTTTCCTGCTACCTCAAAAATAAAAAAATCATTGTATAACTCCATTTCATACTTAATTTCCCTAAAAATGGCTAAACATTTTCTTTATAGTTACAATCGGAATTATACTTTTTCTTAATACTTATTACATCTTCTTATTTCCAACTAATTTGTGCTATAAGCAATCCTCTTGTTTATAAGATATGAAATAGCTTGCTCAGTTAAGTGCCAACTTAAGAAAGAAAAGACAATGAATCATACCTATTTTACTGAAACTGACAGGTGCTTCTTTTGGAACTGTTTCTTATCCTGTATATGAGAACTACTGGAAGAAATATCAGTCACACCTACTTCCATCCACTAATAGGTAGTAGGTAAGGTCAATTCATTGTGAGCTCTAAATAGAAAGGAAGCAAATCTAAGTCAGCAAAGTTTTATTTACTGTGCTAACAATAAGTTTAAAACAAAAATGTAGGTAGCACCTTGGGTAACATCTCCCTATGATGGGATTTTCACATTTTCCTGCAAAATGGGATTATAAATTTTACTGGAAAGCAATGCACATTGCCTAGCACAGTAAATATCAGAACACCAAAAACGTCTCAAATGTTAAAGGGCCTATTTGGAGAAATACTTATTTTAAGCAGATATTTAATTAAATCTCTGCTAATCACTCACAATGAACAACTTCATTTTTAAGAAGCTGTCAAATACAAGGTGTCAATCGTTTAAAACCATACAGCTGTATTTTTAACCGCTTTTCAAATATCCATTCCCAACGAAACCAGATTTCGGTGAATAAAGTAGACAACATTCTCCGACAACCACAGTAAACTGTCATCCAGGCATTGCCTACATAAGTGATTTAGAATCACCGCTTCCCAGGCCTCACTGCTGCTCTCGACTGCCCCTCTCTTAAAAGGCCAGGAAACCTTATATATATGCAGAAGGCCCGCGTAAAGCGGGCTTTATATGTGGGTGCAGGGAAAGCGGCAGCTGTCACCTCTGGAAAGCAGGTGTGCTAAGACCTGGCCCTGCTTGGCTTGCTGCTCAGAGTTGAGTCTCCCAACACATGATCTCACCTCTGCGCTTTTCACTTCAGATCCATTCATCACTGCACCTTCCCTCAGAATAATAGCAGCATATTTTTAAATACTAGGGGTAGGGGGTTGGGGGCGGGGGCTTGGAGAAGTATCTCCTTCCAAGGCATAGTAAGGAATACTCCGCTTCCTCAGCAGTTTCATTCACATCATCAGTGCCCTCTGAATCCCCCGAATCAACCCGACCGAACCTCGTGCTTGCCCCCCACACCATCTCCCCACCCCCACTCCCACGCCCCCCGCCTCTCATCACCCCCCAGCCTGCGCCCGGCCGACGTCCAGCCCCGAGCTCCCCGATCCCCGCATCCTCCCCGGGTATCCCCAAACCTGCCGCCTCCGTCTCCGCCCAGTCTCGCGAGCCGATAGGGTGGGGCCGCCCGGCGGGGGAGGGGCGGCAGCGGCGGAGGAGAGGGGGAGGGGAACGGGAACGGAGGAGGTGGTCCCCGGCGCCTCACCTTCCAGCCCCACCTCCCTCCCTTGGGGGCGCTTCGCCCGGCCGCAGGCTCCGCCCGGGCCGAGACGCGAGAGGCAGCGAGCTCCGCAGGGGCGAGACGCCGAACGCTGGCCGGCCGAGCGCAGAGGGCGCCGCGGTCCCTCCAGCTCCGGCGGCTGCGCCCGCCGCCGCTGCTGCTGCTGCTGCTGCTGCTTCGGCGGCTGCGCCCACCGCTGCTGCTGCTCCACCGCCGCCGCCACCTCCTCCAAGGCTGCTGTCGCTGTCGCTGCCGCCGCCACAACCAGTGCACAGCCCAGGCGCCTGCCTACGTCACCGCGACCCGCCCAGTCCGCGGGGCGGTGAGGCGTAGGGAGCCCCTCCTCCCCCAGTCTTCCTCCTCCTTCTACTCCCGCCCCTCTGCTTCCCCTTCGGCCAACGCGGACCTTCCAGGTCTCGCTGGAGCTCTTGCTGCCCGCGCGCGCGCGCACCGACGGCTCCCCGCCCCTCCCGCCGGCTCCCGGGATCCTTCCAGGGCAAGGAAGGGGGCGGGGCCACTGGGCAACGGAGGCGCGCGCCCGATGAACTGCTGCCCTCCTGCCCGCCTCGCTCATCGCCCTGGCGCGGGCCAGGGAGCGAGCACGCGCGCACGGGACTGCCCTCGTCCACCCGCGCACATGAGACACATGACTGCCCACCTCTCCAGAGGCACAGCACACGCTACTGCCCTCATCCACCACGGGCACAGCACACACTCACTCTCACGCTCTCTACTCACACGCTCTATTCACCTACAGACATACAACATACATCCTCCTTCCTCCACCCACGAGCACCCCCCACCCCCTGCACATACGCGCGCGCGCGCACACACACGTACACACACACACACACATGCACACACACACACTCTCCACTCACACACTCTATTCACCCACAGACATACAACATACATCCTCCTTCATCCACCCACGGGCATCCCCCACCCCACCCCCTACACACACACACACACACACACACACACACACGAGACACATGACTGCCCACCTCTACCCACAGGCACACCACACACATTACTACCCTCATCCACCCACTGACATACAACACGCACACATCCTCCTTCATCCACCCATGGACACACAATGCACATCCTAAGGCCTTCGTCCACCTTCCAAGGAGAGAAGGTATTTGTTGCTATTCTAGACTTATTCCCTAACACACACACATACTGCTTCCCTATGTACCCCTGTGATCCCCAAAATCTGGGTAGTACAGTCTGACACTCTGACACAGAGGGTCACCCACCAAGATGAGGATTATATGTCCCTAAGACATTTGTGTCCAGAGATCGTGTGGTGCAGGAAAGAGCCTTGGATCTGGTGTCCTCAGACTTGCGTTCAAACTCTACCTTGTCGCTTAAGACCTGGACCTGAGGCAAGTCACTTCACCACTCTGGGCGTCATCTTTGAAATGAAGGGATTGGACAAGGTGGATTCTTCAGTACTCTATCAGTGCTCATTCTGTGCCTCCATCCAACCTTTAATAATCAAGTAAGATTGAATTTATTACACCCAGTCACTACTCTGCCGCCCCCCCATACACATACACACACACACACACACACACACACACACATACACATACACATCTCCCTTTCCCCATCCTTCACTTACAGTTGTAAGGCAGAAAATAAAAAAGATGTCCAAAAAGGCCTATGAAGTCAGAGGGGGCCCAAGAACAGTCACAGAAAGTGCCTCCAGACTGATGTATTTTGATTGTTCCTATGATGATTCTGCCTTGGAGTTTGGCATTATTTCAATGACCATTATCTGGCCTAATCTTAGTTTTAGCTTTTAGCTTTAGCACTTTTAATAAGTCATTACAGCTGTATGAGCACAACCATTGACCTAAACACTGTTTGTGATAATATCTGAGGCAAGTGGAAGGAAGGTATGATACAAAATGAGTTGTTCTCGTTGTTGGAAGGCTGCCAGTGGCTCAGTAGATAAGAGCACTGGGCCTGGAGTCAGGAGGACCTGAGTTCAAATCCAGCCTCAGACTAAACACTTGACACTAGCTGTGTGACCCTAGGCAAGTCACTTAATCCCCATTGCCTAAAAAAAACCAAACAAACCAAAAAAGGCAATGAACCAGAAGATGTGTATGTAGGTATGATGTAAAATATGTATGTAAATTAAAGGGGTAAAATGTTTGGCAGAGGTTCCCTCCAGACACCAAGGGTCCCCTTTGCAGACCACTCATTTCTCTAATTTGTGGCCCCTATCCAAATGATCTAGAAGTATTGGTATCTAGGATTCCCCAAGGGTAGCTTCTGTTCCCTTTATAATTATGCAGGTTCACACGGCTCAAAACATGACCAGTTTTATTCACAAGTTAATGGAAATAGATAGGACTCAAACCTGAGCCAATAGAAGGTAACACTACCAACTTCCCGCTGAGATCAGAGACAGACCAGCCAGTTCCCGTATGACTGTTCCAGCAAAACTCTGAAGTTTGCATCAAATTGCATGATGATGCAATAAAAAACTGTAGTGACTTCTTCCACTTCGAAACTACATGAGAAATAAGCCAGAAGCCTAAGAGCCATAGGACTAGGGGTACTCCCACCAGTAAAGCCAGCATCATACCAGCATCACCTCCCAGAGTGACAAGAGACAGCCAATCCCCAACTGATAAATGGCCAAATGATTTGAAGAAGCAGTTCTCAGAGGAAGAAATTAAAGCCATCTATAGGCATTTGAAAAAATGCTCTAAATCACTATTGATTAGAGAAATGCAAATCAAAACAACTCTGAGGTACCACATCACACCTACCAGATTGGCTTACATGACAAAACAGGAAAATGATAAATGTTGGAGAAGATGTGGGAAAATTGGGACACTAATGCATTGTTGGTGGAGTTGTGAAATGATCCAACCATTTTGGAGAGCAATTTGGTACTATGCCCAAAGGGCTATAAAAATGTACACACCCTTTGACCCAGCAATAGCTCTTCTAGGGCTGTATCTCAAAGAGATCATAAAAATGGGAAAAGGACCTACATGTTCAAAAATATTTATAGCAGCTCTTTTTGTGGTGGCAAAGAATTGGAAATTGAGAGGATGCCCATCAATTGGGGAATGGCTGAGCAAGTTGTGGTATATGAATGTAATGGAATACTATTGTGCTATAAGAAATGATGAACAGGCAGACTTCAGAAAAACCTGGAAAGACTTGTATGGTCTGATGCTGAGTGAAGTGAGCAGAACCAAGAGAATGTTGTACACAATAACAGCCATGTTGTGCAATGACTAATATTGATAGACATAACCCTTCTCACCAAGGTCTCATGATGGATAATACCAAGTATTATCCACAAAAGCTGCAAACAAAACAAATTTCTTGATCTTGAGGAGGGAAAAAAGAAAGAACTATGGAACTTGAATGCAGATGGAAGCATACTATTTGCTATTTTTTTCTTCTGTTTTGTTTTGTTTCCTCTTTATGGTGGTTCCTCCTATTGGTTCTAATTCTTACTTATAACATCACTAATGTGAAAATATGTTTAATAGGAATGTATATGTATAACCTATATCAGATTGTCTTGGGGAGGGAGGAGGAGAAAAATTTAAAACTCAAAAGCTTATAGAAGTGATTGTTGATAAATCAAAATAAATTGATTTTTAAAAAATTAAAATTTTTTTTTAAAAAAAGAGACAGCCAAGTACAGTCAGCTACATGTGTAGCTTAAAAGGCTGTCCTGAAGTAACAAGAGCTCCTCCGAGAAAGCCACAGGGTGGGGAGCTGTGGCTCCTGACCACTGCTGACATTCAGACCAGGACAGTCTAGGCCCAAGGTTCTGGGCCCTAACCAAGGATTTGCTGGGGCCAACTGAAATCCACCCTCAAGAGTTGATTATTAAATTTTCAGTGTATTTTCACCTCAGAAATCAGCTTACTTGATTTATGTTATTAATAGTCTAGACTTAAGCGAGAGAGAAAATGTTAATAATGTGTGTCCTGTGTACTTTTTTTTCCTGGAGAGTCAGTTCTTAAACAATTACTAGCAAACAAATACCCTTACCCCTAACAGTCTGTCTTGAGATGACAGAGAGGGTCCTGAATATTCAGTACTCTGAACTTCAAAAGATCCAAAGAGGTCGAGCCCTAGGAAGTGGAAGTTAGTTAAAAAACCAACAACTCAGGGGCCCTAGAGTGAGACCATACAGGACTGACCACCTCAGACAAAAGCATCAGCAGTGGGCAGAGCCTGGCCTTATTCAGCAACTAAAGTAGAAAGGAAAGAGAAATAAAATTTTTTAAAACTACCAACCAGTATCAAAAATTATTGTGAATCTAGAGATCTTCAAAAAGAAGAAAGTAACAATTGCAAACATCAACTCAAAGGAAAAAATGGATTTTCCAGAAGGATTACATGAATTACCTAGAATAAATTAAGATTTTTTTTTAATTAAAAGTTTTGGAGGAAAGAATTAGGAGGAGAATATGAAATAGACTCCTTGAAAACTGAAATAGACCAAACAGAAATCAATTATTCCATGAGACAGCAAGAAATATTAGAACAAAATCAAAAGATTTAAAAAAAATAGAAAATGTAAGATATCAAAAACAACTGACCAGGAAACAAGGAAAGAGGATTTAAGAATCATTGAACGCCTTGAAAACCATTATACAAAAAAAAAAAACCTGGACACTATTTCAAGTCATAAATGGTCCAAATCTGTTAGAACCAGAGGGCAAGGGAAAAAACAGAAGGAATCCACCCATCACTTTCCAAAAGGGGCCCCAAAAGAAAATGTCCTAGTAATGTTATAACCAAAATCTAGAGCTCCCACATCAAAAAATACTGTAAGCATCTAGAAAGGAGTTCTAAATTCAGAAAGATAAGATATTGGTTTACAACCAAGAATAATATATATCCTGCAAGGCTGAGTGTCATCCTAAAGGGGAGAAAATGGATTTTTATTGGAATCGAGGCTTTTCAGGCATTCCTGATTAAAAAACCAGAGAAAAATAGGAACTTTGAAATAACAAACACAACAGTCCAGAGAAACCTAGAAAGGTAAATCTGAGTAATTAGAAGTTGCTGTAGATGATGGAGTGCTAACATTCTAATGGAGGGAAAGAAACAAATGTCCCTTCAGAACCTTGTTCTCAAAGGGAATCAAGGGAATTAAATAAAAAATATGAAAGTTCTGGGGGTGAAATAGTTCTGTTTTGAAAAGGAGAAAGAAAAGGGAATGTAAAAGAAATATACTCACATAGAAAAGAAGAGGATAAAACTTGCTGTTGTAACTGGGTGAGTAATTTAAGAGTATACACACATGGAAGAATGGGCAGGTGAACATGTGCATCAGATGAGCTTCACTCATCTGAAACAAAGGAAGGTTGAACACACAGAAACAATTTTTTGTAGAAATGCATTAATCTTAGCAGGAAAGCAAGCAAAATTGGGGAGGGGGAAGGGAGTAAGAGGAAAGATAATACCAAGGACACAATAGCTGCAAACAAAACAAACTTCTTGATCTTGAGGAGGGAAAAAAGAATTAGAATCTAAGGAGATGCCATAGAGTTCCTCATAATTGGGGAATGA